GCTAATAGCTTTTCTCTCAAAGCTGCCCCACAAGTTCAGCAGGCTAAACCTATTGACAACATCTCCTGCCTGTAATGCCAAGATACCCGCATCTGGAATACTGAGCTTTAACCCTGAAATCCATGGCTGTACTGTTGTGTGTAGTCCCTTTTGCAGTCGGTGGGATACAGGCATGTTCAGGGATCATCCTAGGAGTYAGAGATGCCTCGTTGGGCTGCTTGCTTGCTTGCCTTGGTAGAGGAAATAAATGGGAACATGTGAGGTTTTGCGTTGCCTACAGCCATTTCTCTCTCTTGCGTTAAGGAGTGAGCTTTATGTATATGGAAGGATTTTAATTAGAGAAGGAAAAAAATGTTTCCTTGAACTGTAAAAGGAAACCCCAGCCAGGGGGTATTTGTTTAAACCTTTGGAATTAACAATAAAAGGAGACTAAAAGTAGTTATCACACAGATTATGCTCCYAACATGCAGTGTGGTAGAGGTAAAGATCTGGGAAGCAGGAAGATGCACCAAAACAGAATTTCACAACCTCTCCCTCCAGTCAGCACTACTCAGCTCACATGCAACCATGGGTCACTGTAGCCAAACTCAGTGGTCACAATAGAGACCTCTTGGTCTATTTGGCTTTGCATCGTTGAAAACTGTCTTTTCTTTGTTATACTCTTTTTTTCTCTCCCTTTAAGCATAAAACTGGCTTTGCGATCATGAGATGTTTACAATATTGCTCATGGTAAGGAGTAAAAAAGAGAAAAAARAATRAAGGTGCCCCAGCATCATCTTGCTTTTCCCGTGCTTGTTTCCCAGTGCAGGGCTGAAGCCAGCCCTACTCYGTCCCTTCAGCTCAGCTCTCACCAGCTTCATTGTTCCCCTTCTCTGACAGCATCTCAGTCCAATTGCTAAGACCATCAAAAGTCAGTGCCCATCAAAAAAGAGATTCAAAAAAAACATTAAAATGTGTTCTTTCCTTTCCTCTCTTTTCCTTTCCTCATTTGTTTTTGCTCCTATTTTCCCTTCATTTCTCTAGTGCTCTATCTTTCCTTCATGTATATTTGCAGATGWTCCTTATTTGTCTTCCTCAATACCTCTGTATTTTTATTTTGGCCTTTTTTACTGATTTGTTTTGCATTTTCTTTCTATATTCCCATCTTTTTGGCTTCAATTCTCCATCTAGCACTTCTTTTTTTCTGTCTTCACACTGCCTACTCCCTCCCCCCTCCATGCGTTGTCTCTTCTCCTACCTTTATGACTCCTATTCTTTTTTTTTTCTCTTGACAGCCTAAATATTTTCAAATAGTTCTTTCAAGGTTTTCCCCCATCTTCCAGTTGCCATGTTCTTCCCTCTCCATTAACAATATTCCTCCACTAAGATAACAGATAAGAACTCTTATCTGTTCTGTAAATACATTCTCTCAAAACTCCCTTATTGCCTTTGTAAGTGCTTTGATTCAGGAAATGCCAATACATGTGCAAATTCTGTATTTTCTAGGCCGTTAGTATGCTAGGGGCTATGGGGTTCAAAACAGCACTGCTTTTCCAGTGGGGCCAATTGGCTGTACAAAGTATTTTGCAAACTCCAGAACCACCCTACTCTTTCCCCATACACAATTTTCGCTGTCACTGCAAAAATCACATCACTAAGATACTTCACTTCTGTTCTCCAAGCTGGAAAGGGGCACTGACTGTGCAGCGAGCAAGTCATTAGTTCACTATCCACATAAAACTTTCCAATTGTCTATGAGAAAAACAGACAAGGCTTCTTTTTTTTTTTTTTTTTTTTTTCCCAACCAGGGCAGGTCGATGGCAAGGTGCAGCAGCTTGGCAATCTGTGCAAGTCCTCAGTTAGGCTGCTCAATTCCTCCGTTGCAGGCACCATCTTTCACCATACACACGAGCTCCCACACACGTTTTCCCATGTCTTTCCACGGTAGCTGTTGCTCAAGGCCCAGAGACCAGAGGGGGTGGAACTACAACAACAGACTGTAACAGCATTTGTCATACCAGGTGAGATCTCATTGATACTTTTCTGGTGCACACAGCAAGATTAATGGGTTTCATATTAGGACTTCTGAATTTCCACAGGACCAGAAGGGCAATGGAGCTGGTACACCTGAGACCCATTTCTGAACAAAATGGAGATTATAGCATCGTTTCTCTTTTTAGCTATATGAATATACTAAAAGCACATGAGTGTGATCATCTGGTTCCAGGCACTCATGTAGATGAATTATATTGCAACTTCACCTGCAGCTGAACCTTCTTGTCCACCACAGGCTACTTGGCCACCAGGTTACATCCTAGCATGTCTGGTTTCCTTCCACATTTTTCTCATTAAGGCCAGGCTATAGCATAAGTCTAATAGGTTAAGCATGGGTCTAATATGTTGTCTGAACTCATTTACTAGGCCTTACAGTATTAGTATAAGAGATAGAAGTATCTTTAATTCATTACAGTAAGCACTCTGGGCTTCCCAAAAGGAAATAAGAAATATTGACAAATTCTACTGGCAGAGAGAAGAGGCAGAATGAAAAGTGGACAAGAATTTTCCATGGAAAAGCTGCTGTGCTTATAAATGACCAATAAATAGGCTTGGTTGCCTTCTGTAGACTAAGACAGCTTGGTATCTGTAATATCTGCTTGCCTTGCATGGGCTAGCATATTTTGGCATTACTCAGGAGCTGAAACAGATGAGCTTCACCCTGAAGCAATGTTACTCTGCTTTCATGGAATAAACTTTGCTGGCAAAGGTATTGACAGGGAATGCTGCTTGATCACATGGAGTTGTGTGGCTGTGCTAACTTCAGCATTCAAGAAGAATATGAGCTTCATTGAATGAAGACTCACTTGTAGATTGGAGTATTTTCCAACTCAAAAAATAGAATATGACTTCAAGAAGTCTAATCCAGGTGGAAAGAAGAGGAATGGGTGCATCTGTAAGAGATTTCCAACAGTCTAGCAGACCAACACAATATTAGAAATAGGTCTTATGTGGCCTGCTGTGTATGTGGAACCAAGAGTCAGTGCTCAAACACAAACAAACTGTATAGGGTAAAAGAATCTGGTCCACCCTGCCTACATACAGAGTCATTCTGCAGCTGCCAGGCAGCCATCACCCGCTGTGTGATTGCCTGACTCAGCTGCTACAGGAGAGCAACACTAGAAACCACAGTGATGCCAGTTCCAGGTAGCTCTGACTCCAGCCTCCGACACGGATCAGACAAAGACAGAAGTATTTAAAATATTATCTGGTCACATGTGTTGAGTATTTACACAGCTGTCACTGAAATTACTGAGCTGGTAGAGATCTTCACAGGCAACTCCTTATCAGACAGGGCAGACTGCAAAATAATTACTGTATTTTGAATTCTTCTCAAGCCCTCTATTCATGTAACAGAACATCTGATGAGTATCAGTTTAGACCCCCCCAGAGGCCTACAGAGACYTACTTCCCACTGCTTTTGGTGGTAGTTAGACCACTCAATACCTTCAAAGACATGGAATAGTGCCTCCAGAAAACCCTCTGATATGTTAGAACCCATTAAAGGCCAAATACAGGAAAAGAACTGGTAAAACCACTTAATCATTGTGACTAAGGGCTACTTATGGTTTGGCAAAACCAAGAATAAAATCAGAACTCCTATCTCCAAATTTGTACTACCCACCACGCTSTGTTTCTTTCAGAATAGCAAAAATACTGGTATTAGAAGAGTGGTGTAAAAGGTTAGAAGTTGCATGCTCCCATTAAGAAATCTTTTCCCATTTTTTTTCAGATCTGAAGTGCAAAGAGGAATTCTCAAATAAAATTTTGAGATAATATTTTGACCTGCTATTAACATAATCCTCACAGTGACCTACCGTCCTGTGAACCATAAGGACCATCCAGGCCTCAGTTTAGTCATATATTTTACCTGTGTAGAGTAAGTGAATCTGTTCAGTTCTATATCATCTACCGGAGATCAAGAGTGAATGATATCAGACTGACACTAGAGATATTACAGACGTTTGACACAGATTTTGTAGTGCTTTATTCTGAAGAGTAATTAGGTAAACCAGTACTGAACATATGCAGCAGGCAGCCTTTAGATAGAAATGAAATCTAATTACCATGACAGCATACGGAATTTGGAGACTGATAATTACAATGTTAATCCCACTCAAATTGAAGTCCTCATTTCCTTCTCATCCCTCAGGCATTRAGTAATTGTATGGAGCCTCCTTAATGTCCAAACCAAAATTAGAACTGACAGGCAAACTGTTCCTGAAAAGTGCTGCACTCCTACAACTATGCCAACAGATTTCTACCTTAGAGTTGCATAAGCTTCCTTTTCTCAGGATAGATTCACCAAGAGTCCTCTTAGGTACAGTGAACTGGTCCCCTCTTCCCTGGTTGATGGGGAATGTGTGAAAAAATCCCACACAGAGGAATTAGACTCTCCAACCTACAAACTGTTGTCACTCACACAGAAGAGTGATATGGTTGTACATTCCATGCGTGGTACCTCTTGCCTCTTCTACCCATGGGTCTCAACACAGCTGCTGTTTCACAGATAGAGATTCTCATTCCACCCTGAGCTGTTCAGCTGCCCCACAGAACTTGAGCACTGTTTCCTTGTGCATTAACAGGAATCCATTGAGCACCCTGGACTGCCAGATTGCAGCTTGGTGCAAGAGCAAGGCTACAACACCACATGTCCACATTTTCCCCTCCCAGGCTGTAGGAATCCGCAGAGCATGGGTCATGAGGGAGAGTCTTTTGACTATGGAACAGGGATGTTGCTGTTCCTATGGCTCTTCCTCCCCGAGTCCTTGCAAGTTCCCAGTCAACAGAAATGGGTTCTAGGTTCTCTCTTTGTTTTAGGGCAAGAGGTATCATTGAGGAACAAAATTTACTTGATGCTGAGACTGGGATGCCTCCTGGTAAAATACAATGCAATCTCCATAGTAGGAATCCTTCAATTTAAGGGAGTGAAGCAAAAGGAGACAAACTAATTCTGCTGCATATGTAGAGTACATTGTATTACAMTGCTGATATATAAACATCTTGGATTTCATTTCAAAGATGATAGTCAGCATGCCAAGCTTTACAGGAACATGTATAACCATAAATGTAATTGTGGKTTTTTTTTAATCAATATGCCCCACTTAAGGAGAACAGAATCTGCCTGAAAGAATCACATTGCGAGTTTTGTTGTGCCTAAATAAGAAGATAAATGGATGGTCAGCTTTAAATTCATCTTTGTGTTGCAGAATCCGGTATCCTGGTACCTCTCGGGACTCACCACCTTGTTCATTTACTTCCAGAGAGACTTTATGGATGATCTTTGACAAAACAACACCTTTAGTCTCACACATTTCAGAAAAATCAGATGCAGTCTCATTAAAGATGTTTGTCATGCCCAGACTTTCCAGAAGTGGCTTCAGGTCATAGTCACCTTCTATGTTAAACTTCGGAAGAAATACATTCACTTTGGTGTTGGCCATCATGCTGGGATTGGTCCACTGTAATAATGTCTCAGGTGTAAGTGCTTTTTCCAGCTAAAGTCATAAAGTAAGAAAGGAATTAATGGTCATTTCAAGGAAAGAATTTAACAAATAAATAAATAAATAATAAAAAGAACCATTCCTGCAGTCTTCAGTCCTGTCAACACCCAATAAAAAAAGCCCCAAAGGTAACCTCTGCTTTTTTAATTCACAGTTGGAGTGTTCAAGTTTGAATTATGCTCTCAGTTATATTGATGTATAAATTATTTATTTTATAGGATATGGCCTCCTGGAGCATCTCAATTGAATGTGTATATCCTGTCTATTTGTACTTTACAAGTTTATGTTTGTTTTGTGATTACCTCAACATCCAGAGCAAGGATGCAGAGAAAGACACTCTTGACCCAGATTACACATAGCTGGCTGACAGGTGCAAAAGTCTTGTTTCYTGACCATACTAAGTAATGAAAGTGTTGGTCTGGCATAGAAGATTCCAAATCCAGACCATGTGATCAGTCATGCAATCTGTTTCAATAATTTTTAAAATCTGGGAAGTGGGGATATAGGACTTGGTCCCATGATAAAATGGTACGAAGGGAAGGGCTTGTTTGCATTTTAAAAACTGTATATTCTGTAATTTCCTCCTACATACAAAGTGCCTTACAACCAGAGGGACGAATTCTTCATGCTTGGAAATTTAGGGCCAGTGATAGTAGGTTACACAGAAGTCAGTGAGGTCATTTGCCCCTTAGATCTTTAAACTTYGAAAAAAGGTAAAAATGTGATCTGTAATTTTCTAAATTAAACTAAATAGCGAACTGCTGTAGAAAATATTTGTTCTTTAGGTAATGGACACTTAAGTAAATAAGTTCAGTGCTMTTAAAAACCCAGTAAACATAAGCTTAAATATTTTGCTATAGAAAAGAAGTTTTTAAAAGAAAAAAAAATTAACATGAAAATTTAATCTTTGTGAGAGAATATCAAAAATATATAGATCCCTGAAAGTGTATCATGAGCACTTTCAGCACTTTATAACTGTCTTAACTGTCTCTGTGYATATCCTTTCTAAAATAATATCTTGCTTCAGCATCGACCATAATGGAAAGGATGACTTGACAAATAATGACACCAGGAGCAGAGAAGCAGAATGAGAAGATAAAATCACAGGAAATTTACGTTTTGTTTCCTTCTAAATACTTTGTAATTAACAAAGACATTTCATAAGATCAGCTCATTTTAAGTGGGCTGTTTCAAGGAGAAGCATTGCATCAATTCTGTTTTTTTCTCTCACCTGTTCCAAGCCAGTTGTCTCATCTTCAATCTCTTTTGGCAGCAGAATGAGCATGCTTATATGTTTGTTAAGGCATGGAAGCTCAAGGATTGCAACTTTCAATTCTTTTACATAGCCAAGGCAGAAAGTGGCTTCAAGATTCATCATTTGCACTGGTTTAGTTTCAGTCTGGAAAACACAGAGGAAATGACCTAGCATTCCTTAAATTCACAGCTAAGACAGTGAGAGAGAAAAGTTTGTAAGCTTGGGTGGGAGTGATATGTTGTGCTACCATGAGGAAATTTGTTGGCTTTTGTATGTAGTGAAACCAGGGGAGCAGAATTCTAGTTAATGGAATTGCATCATATTGTACCCTAGAAATTTACCTAATATGAGTGGCTCTTCATATCTGTTTTACTGAGGACTACAATCTGTACTGTCTAAAGGGCATCAAAAAATCAGTAAGTGTCAAGAATTGAGCAAATCTCAGGACTGAAGACCAAGCTGTTCAATACAAATAATTGACATTTTGGTTTAGGACTGGAAATAGAAAAAAAAAAAAAATCAGGCTTACCCAAAGCCATTTTTTTTTCATGAATGACTTGACAACAAAACAAACAAAAGCTCTTTATTTGATGTGGAAGACCAACAAATTCCTCTATTCAAGTGGAAAATTCTTTTAAAGTTCCAATTCAGTAGGAAAATATCACTTCAGAAAAAAAAGAGTTTGCAATGTTTTCACTTAAAAATCATAGTGTTAACTTTTTTATTTTTAGAAACCTTTTTAGTTGAAGTTGTTTGCTAATTTCAAAATTAATTTTTTTTACTCAACCTGAGACTTTCTGTGTGTGTGTGTACATATATATATACACACTATATATATATATATATATGACTTTCTGTGTGTGTGTGTACATATATATATACACACTATATATATATATATGTATGAATATATTCTTGGGGTATAGAATCAGGAATATTATTAAGCTGAAGATATTTGGTTTAAAGCTGGTTCTCTGGTCACTATATTCATTTGCTGGTCACAATTTTGTTAGAGTCCATGAATGCCAGGAAAAAAATGTCAGAACAGAAAATGTTTTTTTGATTAGAAATAGTATCCCTTTTTTTTTTTTTTTTTTTTCAAAAATTACCTTGTTAATTTTAAAAGGACATTCTTTGATCTCTGCCTCTGGGAACTTCTTCATCCAATTTGTGACAAAATAAGCTGCATTAACTAGGAGGATCTGAGTCTGGTCATTTATACTCCCCTCATCCACAACATTCTCCATTTTACCTGTGAAGATATTTAAGCAGATTGTGAATATAAACAGTACATTATCAATATATTATCAATATATTATTTGCTTGAGCTGAATATAGAACCACTGCACTGAATTAAAATATTTGTGTCCTGTACTTCACAGATTAGAGACTTTAAGGTAAAATCCAAAAAGAAAATCTTACTCCTTTAACCCTAGTTTAATATCTGAGGTGAGAAATTTGGGTTCCAGACTGATCTTCTGAATGACTATTTTTTTCTTTGCTTATATAGCATGGAATCCAAAATATGTCTACTGCTTTTGCTTAGTACCTTAAAGATGGTACTGAATTGTCAGTGAAATTCAATAGGTGTAAGAAATGCATCATTTGACATTTGGAGAGCAAAATTTGAAGGGAAGTTCCAGATTACCTCTTCCTTGCTTCTAGAGTGATACACAAGAATAAAATAACCAGAATAACAAGAAATGTTGTTCTGATTACAGTCCATAACCAAATACTACAATAGSCTTCAAAGAGAGTGTAGAATTCTTATCCCTTCCCACTCCGTTTTAGATCTACTCAAGACAAAAAAAGACACTGAGTTATAATATAAGCAYTGGGGATGGAAGTTCTCCCTTCATGCGTGGAGGTGGCACAGACCAGATAGATAATGCACAGCACTTCCACAAGGCCACCTACATTGCTCCAGCTTGGGAAGGAACAGAGATGACTCATGTACCTATATTCTCATATTGGTACTACCCAAGGGCAATTGACAGCAAATTCAGTCTCCAGCAAATATTTGCCATTAAAATAAAACTTTTAAAGGAAATTGGGCCTGGGCTTGATGTGAAACTCCACAGCCAGGAGCTGTTGTTCTCCCAGACTAGCCTGCTGAGCTATAATGTGAACAACTTTCCACAAGGATTATGCAAAGTTTCCCATTTCTATCTTTAGAAAAGCTGCAGCAGTAAATTTAATGATTGCAAAATATGCTAACATTGCTAATCCTTATTAATCCAAGTGATAGGTGTAGCCCCATTAGTTTCACTATATGTTTAATGTATATTTACATTTATATATATTATATATCTTATTTATCAATAAATATATATTTATTGATAAAAGCGTGATGAAAGAGATGAGGACAAAGACCTCTTTCTTCAAAGACGTAAATAGCATCCCTTGTGTTAAACTACTCACCATCAGTGAGCTCTGAAAGAGATTTATTGATCTTCTGTCGCGTCTCCTCAGTTTTTTCTTTGAACTCCACTAATTCCAGTTCAGATGGAAAAGGCCTTTTTGTGGAGTTGACAAAGTCCTGAAAGACACAATGAACCAAAATTATCCTTTACTGTGGATTAGCTAGAGCATTTGTTATTGTAGATGGCAATTAAATAACAGAAAGTGACAACCAGGCTGCACAGGTGCATTAGCAGATTGCTCCCGAGACTGTCTTCAGCTTAGTGTCCTTATGTCATCAACTAAAGTATTGCTGTTATTGCAAGAGTGAGCAAGAGTGAGTGTTATCTTAGCAAGGACTGAGAGACAGTTCACATCATGTCTGGCTTCAACACCTGTTATTTACAGCAGCGCAGGTGGGAAGTTTATTGCTGTGGATGGATATTGACATTTGCTGTGGCAGAGGACAAACAGCAGGCAGTCTGATTATAGAAGCTTTAAACATGCTGTAAGTTTTCTGAAACATTACATTTTAGACTGAAATTGTCCTTGCTTGGAGCCCTTTGGAAGAAAAACAAAGTTTTTCTCAGTTAATTGCCAGGTCTCTAAGTAATAATAAGACCAAGATTGTGCCACCTTATATTTGTTCAAAAAAAATACAGTTTATACAGCTGTAATTACTTGGGTGTGTGAACTATTCACATATTTGCACCTTCCTTTTTTCCACTCCTATTGACTCTTACTTAGAATGCAAAAACCTTGATGTGGCACAGAAGTAGTTTTGCATGCAAACCTACCAAGCCTTCTGACSTAATGCATGTTAATGAAAGAATCAGAAATGTTGCAATAGTTGTATAGCTTGGGGACACGGAGCAAACTCAACCTTCTAAAAACATTTATGGGAGCAGATTGTTTTTTCTTAATCATCTGGGCCCAGGTGACTAGCAGCCAAACTGAGATGCTTTATTTTGGAATAAATTTGAGGTCTCACACCATAATCTGTCAACATACTGGCCAAAACATTCACAGCACAAGACTTTTCTGCAGTACTTACTGTCGTAGGATTAAGAGACTTTTCTACAAAGAGCCGTTTGACCATTTTCAGGGCAAAGAAAGAACAGAGTTTGGAAACATCTGAAGTTACTGTTTGGAACCCAAAAGAAACATCTTTGACGTCTTGTAAATGGAGTACCTGTTAAGGAACACAAGAAAATACTTACTGTCATTTTTTAATTTAAGCATTTCTAACAACTTAATTAATACTGCTTGTTTTGTGACAAGAGCTGTGCCTTCTGGTATTTAAGTTGGTTCTTGTTCTTTACTCAAAAAAAAATTTCTTTGACAACTTCACCTACGTCTAAAGATCCTACTAGAACTTTAACCAAATGTATTTCTTTCCTATGAACAATCCACAGATATCAATAGAGCTGTTCATAGTGGTACTGTAACTTAGTTGACTAAATGCAGTAGGTGCTATAATGTTTTTAGCAAATTCACATTCCTCGCCAAAAACAGAGTTTTTTGGAGCCAATATATAAGGGTCCCACTTCATCAGTCTTGGTTGCTGTGACTGATACATGACGTAACATGAAATTTCGGCAAAAAATGATCAGATAATTCTGTTTGCCTGGACAAAGTTAGAGCTGAGGATAGGGCTGCTGACCCCACATCATAGGGAGGAGACAGAAGGGAAGGTTCCTGCAGTTTTTATTCAAAAATAGCCACCTAATTGTTTTAAGATCAGACATCTAAATTACAACTTGGGAGAAAGCTACACTTCCTCCACTCATCAACCTGGGAGGGCTACTAGCACAACTTTGTTAAATGATGTTACACTGTAAGCTTGCCGTCTCAATTCCTTTGAATCTAGAATTTAAAACCCAAGCATACTGTGCACAGACTCAGAGTCAGGAAGAAACTAGAACACACATGGAAAATAGGAGATTCCACACTTAAAAACATATCAAGTTCCTTCTTACTATCTGCAGTCAGCCCATTTTGTATACCATTTGAAAAATGTGAACCATAAATTCATTTGCATTTGTGTAGCAGAACTCTATTTGTGAATGTATGTTAAAATATTATGGGAAGGTTCAAAGCAAACTGCAGACACATATGAAAATGAAATTAAGCACAGATTAATATTCTGAACTCTCCCATTGGAAGGGCAGTGCTTGAATTTTCAGAGTGCAGGATGTCATTAAGAAAATTTGAGATGGGAAATTGAAAAATGCATATATAAACCTCTGCTCATAAAGACAGAAAATAGACTGTGAGGCAGCTTCTCTGAGCTACCCTCTAGAGCTGCTACACTGATCACATCGGGATGGAGTGATCCTGCACCATGGTGTTGTAAATGCCTCTAACACCACAGGCTGCTTGTGGAGAGGARCATAGTCCAAGCTATTAACCTCCCCCACTGCATTTGTCTTCACTGTTTCATAGGAGAAAGAGAAAACTTTAACCCTTGGGCTGCCAAGAACACTTACTGCTGATGGATAAGGGCCAAGTTATTTCCACTTCTATAAAGTTTAGGCTTTCTTGAACAGCTAAGAGACAATATCTATAAAATGTAGCATTCTGGATTGGGATTTGAAACCACAATCAAMCCTGGTTGCTGAAAGAAGACAAGGTTTTTATCCAACTGTTGAAAACTCAGCCTACACCATGTTCCCTAAAGCCTCATATATATTTTAGAAAGCTTTTTCTTTATACCAGTGGTTTTCAACCTCTTTTTAAATGTGGAATCTTGCAGTGTGGCCTCTTAGGATTTTCAGATGATTTGCAGTCTGGCTGATCAGGAAACCATTGTTAGAGTGCTGCTGCAACCAGCAGGATAATAAAAAGAATAAATAAGAAAGTTGCAATATGCACATAATCTTGCGCACACAGAGAAAGGTTGCTGACAGCCCACCTCTTTCATTTGGTTTGCAGTGTCACCTTTTGTTGCTTTATATGCCAGAGCCAGAGAAGTTGATGTACACAGTGGAGCAAAAATGATATTTGCTGTTTTGTCCTTCTCACAGAGTTTTTTGAACATATCAACTGCAAAGGCAGTGTTTGCTAGTTGCAGTGCGTCCATCGTCATCCTGAAACAGAAAAGGAAAGAGGGATATGACTGACTGCGTAATTCTGGCTCCTGCTGCAGTGGTCCCTGGGCAGAGCACTGATTTACTTAGTGAACAAAGATGTTGGACACCAGTATGAGGACTGGGCAGCCTGAACCTACAGGGGCAGAAAGCAAGAGCCTGACTGAGCCTGCTCAGCTTCAGAGGACATAGCAGCTTCTGTGGAGAAGGGAAGTTCTTATCCWTGCCTGAGCAAGGAAAATGAGCGGCTCAGTAAGATTCACCATCATCAATGAAAGCTGCCTATGACACATGTTACATGGTGACACTATTACCAGAAGCACTTGAGGAAATATGGACAGGTCATAGGGTGACCCATGCATACTGAGTCAAATAGGATCAAATTGGACTTTAATCTGTTTTGAATTGATACTCTTAAAACATGTTAACCTATAAAGTACTTTGCATATGCCCTGGGTTTCCCTGACACACACACCTGCCTTTAATAATCTCATAATCTTTTCCTATCTCTTGCTTCATGACTTAATCGTCTGTGAAAGCTTTAGCTTTGCACATGTCCTTCCTCTAAGGACATGTTTCCTTCCTCCCCGCTCTCGTCTTGCTATAACTCAGCAGAAAGCTGTCTGGTCCTGTTGGCTGAGATTGTTGTAGAAACTCAAGTAGTCTCCTAAGTAAACACTGTTGTGTACCCACTCGTTGCTTCCAAGGTTTCAAACTGCAAATATTTTCCTAGCAGTGCCTAATAACSGCAATTGCTGCAGGGCAGGTAGATGATCTACGAAGTCAGGAATGGAAAGGGTGGTGCTCAAGRGACAATAGTTGCAGTCTATGTCTGAGAAAGGTAGGGAAGATTTTCCTCTTCCATACCGCTTTCATATGGGTGCTGTATTTTGGGGTAAACATATTAGTGTAGATCCAAGCTAATGCGTGAACACAGAATTTAAGTCAATAACATAAGTCTGATGTTAGGCCAGCAAAATTTCTGTTTAATAGTTTTTTCAAAGCTATTGACAGATCCAGAAAAGAAACAGAACAGATAAATACTCAGAGAAACTTCAAAAGAGCCAAGATTTTACATGGACTAATGGAGTCTTAAGCATTTTCTATCTTTGGGAAACCTCCCAGGCAACATATTGTAATAAATACAGTGTGGAGGGGATTATATGAAGATATATGCTTTTATCCAAACACATGCCTATTTACACTTACATTTCAGGCTCTAGTACCAATGATCTAAGGCTTCTATTTTATCTTCCTACTATGAGAAGAAAAGTCAGGCATTCTTCTAAAGCATTTTACTGGTAAGAGATTTATTGAGCTTATAACAACACCTTAACAATAGCAAGTCCTCTCAAAAAGCAGACTACTTAACACTGTACCAGCAAAAATTTACTAACTTGGTTGATATCATTTGCATCCCAGACAGAAAAAAAAAAACTTTCTGAGTGGGAAAAGTAAAATACAGAAGACAGAAAAGGGTAAAAACAATATATGGACAGCAAAACATCTCCAGCAGTATCTCTGTCTTGATCATTCACTCTTATTCCTGTTTAGTGTAGCATTTTTTGATGGGAAAATTCATCCATAYGAGTGCACTTGCCCAATTGCCTACCTTGGCTGAAAAACCAATATGAATATACAGACAGACTATGGAGTAGTCCCTTTGAAGCTTGTGGTACTTCACAGTAGTGATTTCCAAAATAATCTGTGGTATTTATACATTTTTAYGGGAGTACCAGAATGGGTATGCATCTTGCCTGCATGCAGTAGGAGGAACTATTTCATTTACTGGTAGGACGTGTTTGATTAGAGAGGGCTTTTCACAAAATACATGTCCTTAGTTTTATTGTAATTCACTTCTCTATACATTCTTGGATAATCACCTTGCTTCTTTTGTTATAAAAGATGTTGTATAAAAGATTACTGAAATGCACTGCACCGCTTAAGTGTACAATTTAAGCAAAAACAATGTATTGGCATAAAATCAACACTTAGCAGGCACTGCATTCTTGYAAAGCACTCTCTTTGTTGGTATTTACAGCAAGTGTTTGGTAATAAATCTCCTCCCAATGCAAAAGAAGTAATTCTTTCAGAGAAGGGAAAATATAAAACATTTTTATTAGTGAAAAAGGTTATTCTCACTTAAAAAGAGGATGAAAGAGGATGCTTTACAACATCTGGAAGTTTTGCCAGAATGCTTTTTTTTTTTTTTTTTTTTTTTTTTTTTTTTTTTTTTTTTTGAGGTAGTGATGGCAAGACATGTCCATGTTCTAGTAATCTGAGCTCAGGAYGTAAGGAGAGCTTTGGTCATAAGAGTAACAAAAACAAAACAACAATAACAACAATAACAACAATAACAACAATAACAGAAAAGAGAAACAGTGTGAAGGCCTGACACTGTTGTTTAGGGAGTAGCTTGGACAACAGGGATAAAGAAGCAAATGTGAAAACTTACTTTAAAAATACTCTCTGCTTGCTCATCACGGACATGCACCTTTATGCATGTGCATGTGCATGTGTTAAATSCTGTGTATGAACTAGCTTACATAGGCTTATTTTTCCCCATTAACTCAGTCTCTGAGTTATGCACATACATGTGCATACTTTTTCTATGTCCTCTCTGTCTTTTTCAGCTGAAATCAGAATATATTGATTTGGGGCAAGTACCATCTTTCCAGGCATTTTTTACTAGGAAATTGTTGGAAAAAGAGCAAGGAATCAGGAAGAATTTGTCATTAGACACCTACAGTCTTCACAAAAACTGAAATGTGCAGAAACTCACAACATTATACTAGAGTATAATATCATATATGAATGCTAGCTGACCTCATTTTATCTAGGCTTCTAGGCTTCTAACCTATCCATAAAGACTAAGAATCAATATGCAATCATCATCACTTGAGAACACTTATTGCTCCACTCCRATTTTGAACTACAAATACTATGCTGCCATTCTATCTGCAACATTTTCAGGTACCGRAAAATGAATCTATAATGTGCAAGTGTGGCAAATGTGGTTTTAAAATGTGTATGTGCTAACTGTGTCTTATTTTCTTGGGTTGCAAGAGATTAAGAGTAAAATCAAATAGAAAGTTTTGCAAAATCAAACAAAAGTCTTACGTGAGTAAAAAACTGTCACATCATTTAGAAACTCTTCTGTCCTCACTGGTATTCAAGTATCTTGAATTATAGTCTTCTAGGCTTTGATGTTCTTATAGGGAGAGGAGTATCCTTTATTTTAGCTGAAAACCTAAGGTAACTTGCAAACCTTTCATTACAGTTTGTTCAAYCAGTAATTGCCGATATTACTGTAGCTTCCATTCATGTTGAATGAAACTGGTTTCTGGTAATGATAAAGCTACCCTTATAATTTCTTTCTTTCAGTGCTACAATTGAAGTAATGMATATTCAAGGCATTTTATTGGGGAAAAATAAATAAATAAAATCAGCTTCATCCTCATTCTTGAATGTTGGCCTGAATACCTAAGAATAATCTGTATTCCAGCATCTTTTGCTGGGCTGTCAGAGCCTGGTCAGTCTTTTTAATAATGATGTATGGTAATCATAGGCTCGTGATATTCATATTCTAAAAAAAAAGAATTTACTTATTCTAAAAAAAAGACATTCTAAAAAATTCTAATTCTATTCAAAAAAAAAAAAAAAAGAATTTACTTAAATGGGACTTTGAAAAAAGCCCCATTAAGTGAGAGAGTTTGAGGCTGCCTTCATGAGGAAGGCCCATTAGGTGTCCATTAGGAGCCTCAGAAACCAGACAGGGCTCCTGAGTCAGTAATCACAGGGAACCCTCAAGCAGGGAGGAGCCAGAAAGTGGAACCAGGAATTTGAAGAGGGCTGCTGCATGAGTTCCTGCTGAGTCCCTCCTTTCCCAGGAAAGAAGTGTCAGCACTTTGACAGGCCTGCGGCACTGTGGCGTATTCTAAACACGGGTGGCTTGTGATCCACCCAGCTCTGCTTAAACCTGTGAGTAGGCCAAGGTGTTATAGAAACACCTTCATATACTTTAGAGGCTATAGAACTGGTTTAGGAAAACATGATTTGCACTTGTTTTTTTTTGGTAGTCATTCTTGAATGCAACAACAACAACAAAGTGAAAGGCTGTCTCTATGTATTTGTTTACTAAGAGCTAAATATAGATTATCTTTTAAAACAATAATCAGAAAAATAGCAATATCTGTGTGGAAACCTGACAAATCAGCTATATGGTACCAGACAAATTAGCTATATGGTAGGGATAATCTGATGTTGCAGAAGCATATCATTTATTCTTGCCTAGGTTAAACAGTCCTTCTAGGAGAATACCTCTGTTGAAGGTAAAAAGGAGAAAGTGTTGGCCGGCTGATATCTGGGGTGTGCATTTATTTTACAGCTTAGCAGCAACGAGTGAMAGCACTGTAGTCACTTCAGTTTAAGCAAACTTTCATCTGGGAGGATAAATGATACCAAACTTACTAGAAAACAGTAAGTACTTATTAAAAAATAGTAAAAAATAAAAAGGATAAAACATGTAAAGAAAATATGAGGATAAAGGAAAACATAAATAGGAAAAAGAAGAAAAGATAAAATGTACAAAACATTGTACAAAAGATAAAATGTACATAAATAGCAAATAGAAAAAGAAGGAATTTAGAGAAGACAAAATGTAAAAGAAATGGAAAATTTTTGTAGGYGTTTTCTTCTACTTCTAAACAAATAGCGGCTTTCTGACAGGCTGAATGTTTACTTAACAAGCACACAATCTCCTCTGAACAGACATTCCTCTAAGTCTAATGTTTTACTTCCGTGTGCTTAGTGAATATTAAATGGTTGTGGAAAAAAACAAATTATCAGCAATATCAAAAAGAAATTCATTCCATAAAGAAAAGAGAAATAAACTGTCAGAATATGCTTTGTTGTATCTGAATAGTCAGTGAATTTTTCAAGTAAATGGTTACAAAATTCGTAACTGTAAGTTCCTATTCTCCATTGTAAGCAGGTAGGAATTAGTCACTTGATTAATAAGTCAAAGCAAGCAGAGCAAAGCATACACACTCCTACAGAAAATGAGAGGAATCTTCCTCTGCAACAGAGACTTCTAAAACACCCTAARTCCTATTTAGACACATGGGGCATGTTTATAACATCATATTCATCCTGCTTTTTGCCATACAGGCTAAGTAATTTGCAATAGACAATAGGAACTATAARGATTTTAATAACTCCTAATGTATTTACAATCTCAACTTCCCAAACCTATGTGACATTTGCAAATAATCGTTTTTGGGGGAAAGAACATAGCATGATAAAGGCAGCAATTTTGTGATTAAACAAAAATGTTCTATAAAATCGCTTGGGAGGGCTTTGGCGTCCCTCCCATATGCAGATAGAGCATGAAAAAAAAATATATCTTTTCATACAGGTTTCTTTATCCCACTCCCTTTACACAAATATGTTTCATGATGGAGATTTGTTGACTACTCATTAGGCAATAATTAAAGTATCGGGGAGAAAAAAAAAAAAAAGCTGTACTTACTTTGAAGGTTATAATCGTGGCAAAGGAATCAATGAAATCGGCACAGCACGAAGAACTAGCTACTTGTGGTGAAACTTTGCCGAGCAGAAGAATCTGTTAGCTTGCCTGCTCGCTGACACCACTCCCACTTTCCCAATCTTAATTTGCACATATACGCTGTCTCTCACTCTCGCTTTCTTTCTTTCTGTTTTTATGGCTTACTCACTCTTCACAGCAGCTCCTACTTTGGAGCAGCAAAATGATTCACACCAGAGCTGTCCTTGCAAGCCCAGCTGCTGAACACAGCAACATGCTCCAGCAAGAAATAGCAGCCTTTGTATGTTGCCTTCAGCAAGTGCGCTACAAAAGGCACCAGGCAAAAAAGAATGAAGACTCCTGAAGAGACAGCATAGGAGTTAAAGAACAATTAAAAGGTCTTCTGAGCAAAATCAGTGCTCCAGGTTACATTGGAATCACCACTATTTGTAGAAATTTGTAATTGTGAAAAAGACGCTCAGGAAGAAAATCAAAACGTGTAGGAGTGCACGGCTGGGGACTTTGCATCTGTGTATGCATTAAGGCACTGTCTCACTTTGTCTTTGTTAAGGAGTGTATGTGCACATTTGGTTACCTCAGGAGCCCAAGGCCAACTGGAGCTAACGCTCAAGGAAAGGTATCTATCTGCCCTTCTTGTTCCTCCAAAGAGAGCGCTTCTTCCAACAAGAAGCCAAGCTCTTCTACATAGCAGCAGACTTTTGCACTCAGTTTTCCGGCCATCTGCTAGCTGTCCCCAGAAGTGTGGATCAAACAAAAAAAAAGAAAACTATGGCTTTTGTCTTTAACCTGCAGCATAGGGAAAACGCAATCCCAGAGGCCAGGATAATGGCCATGGCTTCATGTCCTACTGTGTTCCTTCCTCCTGGTGTACATAAGGGGAGGAGGAAAGAATGAAATGAGTGGAAGATGCGATGTATCTTCATACAGCCTGCTGGGCCTATTTTTATTTGAAAGATGTACTCCGCTCTTGGCAAGGAAAAGGTGCCCTACCTCTTCTCCACACCATTTCTCTTGTCAGCAAGTCTAGCTGCCTGCCACAGGAATCAGCAATTACCTCCTGCTAGGTCATGGCTACTGTACGTGTTCAATCCACATGAGGAAATGGTGAGCTCCTCCACTGACATAACCTCACCTGAATAACCTCAAATGGCCCTGTCTTCTTTAAAACTATATAAGTACTGATGGGGAAAAAAAAAAAAAAAAAAAGTAAGAAAGAAAAAGGTAAATACAAGATAGCTGAGTTTGCTTTGTGTTTTGCAGTACTGGTATGCCCAGCCACCTAAAGGAAAGGGTGGAAAATGAAAAATTCCTTCCCTGATACAGTGCCTCCTTTTTTTTTTTTTTTTTTTGAATATAAATCAGTCCATATCATGGCTTCCTTCTTTCCTCCCATAAATGTTTTTTCCCAAAAGGCTCCTAAGCACATGCTGCCCAAAGAAAATCATTTTTTATTCCCTGCTGTTATAAAGATAGACTTCCCTTCAATCATTTACCAGACAGTGAAATTAAAAGCTTTATGCTTTGGCATAAGTGAATCCATAACAAACAGTGGGTGTGGATATTTTTAAGCAATTAGAAGAAGATATAGGGCAGCTTGGTAAACTGTGTGATCTCTGCAAGAAAGCCATCATTGTTATCTATCTTAATGTGCCTTCAGCAGGAAACATTTTGATGAAAATTCTCAGCTGTCTACAGGTAATCTGAAGCCAAACAGTCTGCTGTTCCTGCAGGAGCAAACCTTCCTTCTGCCTCAGTTAACCAAATATGGCCCACTATGAAGTGACTGGGGTGCTTTCTGGGTAAGCAATAGAGCAGAAAACTGCTAGATTCCCTTTACAGAGATAGCACAGATGCCCAAGTCACTCCTCTGATAGTGACACGTGGGAAATACAGGTATGTAGATACACAAGCTTTGTTTACAACCTGGGCAGTGAAACAGTGGAAGAAATCTATTGTGCCAAAGGATTTTAACATCATTTACTCTCTACTACTTTACCATGATAAGTGAGATCTGACACTGTGCGGTTTTACAGAATCCTTTAGTCTGATGTGGCTCCTGCTGAAAAATTTATTATTTCTGTTGGCGTTCATTACTACAAAATTAATAGTCACTGTCGGAATTGTGAGACCTTCAAATGAAAGGGTTCACACTGATACTGACAACCACTGTTCGAAGGACAGTCTTTCTCCTTCTTAATATTTTGGGTTAATTTGCTATGAAGGCTAGAGATAAAATCAGTGACATTCCCATATGGACCAACCAGGAAAAAATGGAAAATGTGTTACCTTGAAAAGCAGAAGATGTTTAACTTGATGTACTCAAAGTTTGCAAGAGACAAGAAGGAAAGCTGTCTTTCCCATTCTAGAATGCTCTTACTCTGACTGAATGACACTTACCTGCATTCACTTCCCCATCTCCAGTACTTACCCTTCACTAAGCTAGTCTTGTTCAGTTTAACCTCAGTATTTTCAGTGCACACCTTTTATGAGCTGTATTTCTGTCACTAAATTAAAAATTAATAGCTTTTGTAATGGGATTTTTCTCACCATAAAATCAGAACTATTTTAACTCTCTTGTGACTTGGAGATTTCCTTTCCAACATTATCTCAGAAGACAAATTAGAGAATAGAAAGGCAGAAACAGTGTGTGTGTGTGTGTGTGTGTGTGTGTGTGTGTGTGTGTCTGTGTGAAGTGGAACAGTGTGATTTTAAAACTGAAGTTCATCATCCAGACAAGTTAAAATCTATTGACAAAACAATAGCTGAGCTTTTGTCCCCATTTCCCATGGCATAAACATTTTTTGTCTTCAATAGCCCAATGACAAACTAATGCCTTACTGCACCAGCAGTTACATATAAAATATAAAATATAAAATAAATATAAAATATAAAATATAAAATATAAAATATAAAATATAAAATATAAAATATAAAATATAAAATATAAAATATAAAATGTCTGTGAATCAGCAAGCTGGACACGCTTCGTTGAGGAAGAGAGGTAGCCAGCCAGGTGACTCAGCCAGCTTCTGCCGTAGATGCCCTGGCTCTCCCTGCCACTCCCTCTGAACACCGCCCAGGAACTCTGTTCCTACATGCAATCTGAAAGAAAACAGACTTCTCTCCACCCTTTTAACAAGCTCAGTATGAAGGAGAGGGAAAAAAAAAAAAGAAAAAAAAAAAGAAAAAAATGAAAAATGAAAAATGAAAAGGAATACTGCTGCTTAACAGTGTCATGAACTATTTCAGAGACTCAAACTGTCTACTACACTCTTTTTCATTATTATTTTTAATTCACTGATCCTCAGGGCATGCCTGATTGCAATTAATGCTATCATGCCCTGGAAAGCACATCGGAAATAACCTACAAATTGGACTGAATAGAACAAACAGGTGTATATTTTTTATCCTACCCATTCCTGAAAAGATACAGCATCTTTTAATCGAGTTGGAGTTTTTGTAGTAAGTTCTGTATCTTGCAAGGAAGTCAATAAAAGGTCATTTTTATGCCTTTAGCTTGTTTTAAAAACCTTCATTTTTAACACACCTAGGAAAACCCAGAGAGTAAAAGTTGAAATGTCTTTGAACATGTATACACAGCAGAACTTGTATTCCGCCTATAACATTATTTTTATTCCTACTGTAAGTTCCTACTGTATTATCATTACTGTATTCCTACTGTAAATAGGCATAAAAACAGTCCAATTTATTTTCAATTTTATTAACACTAATAAAGATCAGAGTGAGAGTTATTAAGCACAAAAAATTAATTTGCAATTAAAATAACACCTGCAGTAGGAAAGTGTTAATCCATGGCTTCATTGAAAGAGATATAAACTGAACAGGAACAAGCTGGCCTTCTCTTATTTCCCTTTCTTCTCACAGCATTTGCATCCATATGCATAAAAGGTGRTGTCAGACAGACAGCAACACACCAACTCAAAATGTATGGAAGAAAGTCAGTTTTCTGATGTGTCTACTGACGTAGAAGTATTACTCACCAGTCATTACTTCTAACAACAGACAGGAAATTATTTTTTCATACTTTCATGTGCTAACATTATCATTTAGTTTTCCTAGTAAGGCTTTTTAGATTGGAACACACATTCCAATGGAAAAAAAAAAAAAAAAAAAAAAAAAGAAAGAAAAAAACAGGAGCAGGCAGCCAAAGAGCTGACAGCTTTCAATGAGAGCAAAGCCTTTAACATGGCAAACAAGAAGTGAATGTGCTGCAATCAGCTCATTTACCATCTAACCATTTTCCCTAACACTTAGTGAAATACAAATAAATCAGCTTCATAAAGGAACAGGCATGATAGACTATTTGGAAGAACCTATGGAAATAGACCCATAATATAACCAGGAAACCAAAATATGAAGAAAAATCCATATATGTAAAAAAATACTAAAACACCTACTTGTTTTAACCTGATGTGTTAATCTGAAAGTTTATCTTCTCCACTGCACAGATGACTAAGATAACTTCTATGAAACAAAAACAGTCAGAAAGAGCTTTGAATTGATTACTTCTGACTGAAGCATCTGTGACCCACTTCTGCAAGGAGGAAAGCTTGAACCCATACCTGTGGACACGGATGTTTCAGGGTGCCACCTCATGGGGATACTGATAACTTGCTTTTTCCTTTGTGGCTGTGCTGGTAACTGCTGCCTTTCACAGCCTCCTTTCACAGGGCTGTAACTTCAACTGAAAGCAGCCTGCTTCTTGACCCAGAAAAAAATGGAAGCAAACTGAGGTTTCTCATGTTTCCTTAGTCATGGTCTGTTTTTTCTTCCCTTTAGTAAACTTTAAACTTTTAGATCTTTCTTTATCTTGAAGTTTTGGCAGCTTTAATGGACCAAAGTTCTTCTCTCTAGTCTTTTTTAGGTGACTGTGATCACATTCTTGAGACCATTTTAACACTGGAATATATTGAGAATGTTTTCTCCACATACGCATAATTTGCTGTTCTGATCTGAGAAGCACCTTGACTAAAAATAATCAATCAGTAAGTTCTGAACTGA